ATAAATAAATGTATATAATGCGTCATATTTACTTATACACAAACGTAGCTCAAACATGTTTCCTATTTTCGAGCCCATGAACAGCTCCATTCTCCTCCTGACCGGTTTGTGCAATTTTACCTAGCACTATGGCCCAGTGGGAGGTTGCATGTGCCAGCAAACTTGTAATTGGAATTCGTTCAGAGTGAAATTTGTCTCGACGGACACCAACACACGTCAAATGCGATTGAGATTTTACTTGCGACTGTCGTCGTAGCTTTTATCTACATACAGTACATAATAGATACTTAGAATCTAGTATGGTTTGTATTCTAGACGTTGACCCGGTTTCCCATCGTTAACGTTAGGAGGATTGTCTCGCTAACGCCTGATCTTCATTGTATGTATCGAGCGACTGTTGCAGCGATGGCATACCACTAAAAACTATTGTCCAGCCTACACATATTCGAAGTATATTTGAAGTTGCATATAGGCGCGATAAGCGTTTAAAAACATCCATGACTGCATGCAGACATACTACTATGGAGGTATTAAACTATAACGCAAATAGAGGAAAGTGCAGCGATGTTAATGCCATTTATAAGTTTTGAGCATGCACTAGAGAGACAATCTAGGCTACAACCGACTTAGGTATGCACCAAGTCTAATTTGAGCATTTTTCGCAATGATACTGACTCCGGCCTCTTACATTGTGTCCTGTTGCCTGGAAAATTGGTTACAATCTGTCCATTCATTCTGCCTGTACGTACACTAGAGATCCAGCATACACTAAAAGAGCTATGCAAATGTATCACAGTACCCAGAGCCCATATTAGATTGTTTGCTGGAGATGTTGGTGACTACTGACCGAAACGCACAACAATCTTGATCCGTCAAGTGATTTGTGGTATGCGTCATTTGTCAGCTGCATACAGGCGTGCCTACACAGGTACTTCTAATTGTTTATTAAATTCCAACCGGGTTTATTTCTTGCCACCTTTCTTCTTATCTTCCACTGTCGATATGTCGTCCTCATCGATCTCCTACAGGGGTGTGTTATAAGAATCGTTTAATGGCTACATTTACGGATACACACGGCAATCAATCGCCTGAAATAGTATGTTATGAGTATCCATATACACACAGTCACTTGCGTACTTGCACAGCATCATGTATGTATATGCGTGTTAGTTTGCATGAGGGTTTAGAGTCCAGGGCAGCTACTTCAGCTCGTGTCTGTTGACCAACATGTGTAAGTTGGTATAAGCGAGGTCAGGATTGGCACGAACACAAATTGTATGCAGAGGCCCGTGCCTGGATAGAGCATCCTCATCGAGTCACAAATGAACATACGTACTGGATACACCATCTGTGAAGTCCAACACATCCAAATGTGGACTTGAAAGTATCTCTGAGATAGCAGTGTTTTAGTACATTAATACTGATACTCTTAGACGACCAGTCCGAAAAATAATAATACAATTGAAGTGTGTGATCATCGCAACTCTCGTAGGTCGGCGCAGAAGGCATTCGGAAGATTCAGTTCCCACGAACTATACTATTATATCTGTATCAGGTCTGGCACAAAAGCAACACCAAAATAATAATAAAAAACTGGCACGAAAGCAACGCCAAAATAAAAAAAATTGGCACAAAAGCAACGCCAAAATAAAACAAAAGCTAGTGCAAACCACCACCACCACGGCTAGAGACGAGCCACACATACCTCGATAGAAAATGTATGATTCATAGCACAACTAATAATAAACCTAAACCACAGGTATTCGCGTAGTACTCCCAAACCCCTAACTAATCTGAACAGCCTTGGGGATACCGATCTAATTCAGCACCACAACATACCGCCCACTTCTCCGGTAGGAACTCCTCCAGATCAGCGGCCACGTCACCCTGCAGTGTGATCTCATCATCGCCTGTGACTGACGACCCGCAGGCAAACTTGCTGCCCAGCACCTTGCCCGCTTTCTTCAGGTCGATATCTAAGGAATTCAGGGTTTAGCAGAAGGTTGTATATTGAGGACAAGGACAGTATTGCTGGTATGAAAAAGGTAAATTGAATGGACGACATGTGGGTACGCAGGCAGGTTGCACGCATTTACACTCAGCCCTATCCGAGTAATCAGGCACAGCTACGTGATGATTGGTCACAGGGAAGAAATATTAGGTACACTTCATGAGGGATATGATACAATGGCAAGACATCCTTCAATATATTTGCAGGACGAAGGTGTGCAACTGCTACATGCGACCAGGGCTCCCTTACGAGTAGAGCTGCCAGAGCGAATTCACAAGATACCGATTTTGAAATATATATAACAGACAGAGACACAGAGACACAGACACAGACACAGACAGAGACATATATATATATATATATGAGTGTGTGTTAGTGCAATTACCTACCATACGTCTTCAGACCAACAACGACGGTGATGTATTTCCTGCCACCTCGATTTCTTCGCAATAGAGTGATGGCTCGTTTGACGTCGGCTTCTTTCTTGACCTTGGCTAGACCTTTGCCCTTCTTCTTGCTGTCGTCGAGGCTCAGGCCTTCAAGATCAGCTGGAGGTGGGGACGAAGCCAAGTTCGAGACAATGGATAAGGTGTGGTTAATTATAAAATACAATTGGAGGTATTCCTAGTATCTTCTAATAGAGACAATGTAAACGGGACACAACAATACAACCCGTTTCAACCACGTACTTTCCTTGCATTCACCGTATGATACAAAGCACTTCTTACACTCGATCGGCTCGGTTTGTCAACGCGAACAAGCGAGAAAGAGCATGCATGTGCTTGCATCGTGCAGCATATACAGATATAAACTATGGCACACAGCCGAATCATGGGCATGCTGGTACATAGATAATACAACCGTCGGCCCAATAGCCAGCAAATACAACTACACAGACAAACCCAAAGCAAAACACAGCAATACACACAAGCATTGACCAAGATGATGCAGGATCGTTAGACAACCATACACAGGGGTTGGGTAGAGTAAGGTAGTGATAGAAACGTACCGTATAGTTCGTCGTAGAGATCCTCGTTCTTGCTCTGCAGTGCTTCCTTGCACGCTTTGGCGGTGGGACCGAACCCACAGTACTACAATAAGTGATAAAACAAATATCGATATTAGGACAAGTGCATGAACCATTAATAAGGGATAAGGGTTAGTACATCAGCGTTCGTGGAGGTAACATTTTACCTGTAGTGCCATCGCTATGGATATATACGTGTCTATGTGCGGGTATATGGTTTAATTGTCGCATATAATCTTCACAGTGGCATACAAGCAATTTCAGAATTAAGCTCATCTACACACACACACAAATCATGCGGGATTAATTTGATTTATATTCACACACAAATCATCCGGGATTAATTTGATCTACATTCACACACACACACACACACATATATATATATATATATATATACATACACACACACACATATATATATATATATATATATATATATAATACACACACATAATATGTGTATTTGCATAAATATATACATAAATACAAATCCTACATACATGCATCATATATATACATAGATATAATATATATATATAATATATATATATATATATATATATACACACACACACACATATATATATATATATTAATACACATAAGTACGTGTATTTTCATAAATATATACATAGAAACATATCATACATACTTGCCTCATATATATACGTGGATATATAATTAATATATTATATATATATATATATATATATATATTTCAAACAGGTACAATTATAGAAGTAGCTCTGTATTTATATAGAGCTACAATTGAGATATATGTCAATTATGTATGCGTACCATGATAGTAGCCGGCAGAAAAAACCGTTTTCGCACATCAACTGCGATATAAAAGGCTATTTCGATCTAAACTGATTACAAATGCTTGCCATAAACACAGCTGTGCAAGTGATTCTCAGAGTCATACATAATCCACCAAACATACCTCCGGAGGCACGGAGCACACAGTGCAGTAGTACACGTCCACAGTCATTTTTATTATGGTATCTATATAGAAATGTATATATATATATATACTAAAAGTTCAATGTGTACAGCTACGCGTCTGTATATATATATATATATTGCCAATAACCTATGTTTAAATACCCGCCAACAGCTACGCACAAGCCACCAGGCAGTTAGTGTCGGCATTCCTAAATCCTCTAGTCTAGAGTCAGCAGAGTAATCGGACGTCTAAAAAATGGCGTGTGAACGATAATATACGACAAATATACGACAAATATACGACATATAGATTTCGATCAAGTTTCAAATCAGTCCGTTTGTCCGATTTATGCCGCTCAAATTATATATAACGGACGTATAATATGTACTCTGTATTTAGAAAACACGGCATCACGATGTAAAAATATACAAAACCGATGATGTATATACAAAACCGACAAACAATTTGCACACAGACAACTGACACAGACTGTGCTATTTTGAATTGTGCATGTGTGCTGCTATCGTACTAACCCCTGTGTTTAGTTTGCGCTATCTCTGTGTGGTTATCGCAGGCTGCAGCTAGTGTACACAGAAGATAGAATAGTTTACGCTAACAACTTCTTTAATCTATCCTATATAGCTATCAATATCGCGTCAATGCCAACACCCATCCAAGTCCTGATTATACACCATGCCGCCTACTAAGGAGATACTGCTGTACACTAATATCATGCGAGAATTTCTCAAGTGGTATAACAAGGAGCACAACTGGGATCAATATGAAGACTTTCATAAGATTGACAAGAGCTTATTCAAAGACATCACACCCGAGAAACTCGTAACATACATGAAGATACTTGCATATGGCATCCCAAACCCCGGCCCAGAAGATATTCCTACTGGGCAAGGAGAAACGGGACTTTTATTTGTGAAGCGAGCAATCTCGTACTTCTTACCGGACGCCAATAAGGATTGGGATGCTGACACACGTACCGGAAATCCAGCACGTGCGAAACCGGTGGATCAGCTGATTCGGGTTGCTGGGATGAATGAGCCGAGCGCAGAGAGCATACAGTTGATTAAACGACAGTTGAGTACTTTTTCCATGGAGATCATGGCGTTGCAGAGGACTATCTTTGATAGCAACCAGAAACACAGACACGATTCAAAGCATCTGGAGTTGCTAGTGGACAAGACTCGGGTGGAATTGATGCAAGAGATGCTGAATTTGAGTAAGCAAAGACATGGAATGAGTGGGATGAATACGAATGGGATTGGAATGTCATCTAACGGGAAGGGTAATGAGGCCAATACAGGTGGTAGTGATAGCTACGCATATGGGGAATACGAGTATGGCCAGGAAGTCACACCTGTTGAGGAGGAGTATACTACCAATAGCAGTACTGCTATTGATGGCAACAACCGAAACAAGAACAAGAACGCCACTTCTACGACGCAAGACGTGATGGCGCTTAGCAACCACGCTAGCACCAACACAAGCCATGCGTACGGTAATGACTACTCATACAACGGCGGATCTACTGTGTATAGTAACAAGGCTCCACAGCAATACGGAGCCAGCAGTATGCAGGTATCCACTTTCCCCGGCTCGTCTAACGAATTCATTGGCAACGCCCAACTGTCATCCAAGCCAAAAACACTAGCCAGTCTATGGGAAGAGTATGAGATTGGAATTGGCACAAACAAAGCGGCCAGGGAGTTCACCCAGAAAGAGCGGGGGAGTGTGAGGAAAACGTATAGTTTTAGAAACTCATTCTGGAAGGCTATGGAGACGGTGATGGGGCGTGGGAATTCGGTGGAAGAAGCGATGCAGAAAATCCAAATAGCGTATGGCGAAAATGCTTCTGTGACTGCTGTGTGTCGGGCCATCTCCAGAGATAAGGACTTATCACGTGTGTTGTCACCACCGTAAGTACCGCAACAATAAACGCGAAGAGCACTGCGCTTATATGTGGGAACTCAGCATGCGGCTTTACTTACAGATTGACGAGTACTTCGATACTGCATGTGTAGGTATACAAGCGGTAGGTCGGTGGGAACTATAGTATACCGGGCTGTACAGGAGACGCATCAACCGACAACGGTGACTACCGTATGCAAAGTTTGTCTACAATCATGGTAGTTTGCTATGTGACCGCATAATCTATCTGGATAGTTATTGACGAGGTGTCCTTGACTATGCCCGTTACCGCCTAAAAAATCGTTGGACATATATATATATGTATATATATATATAGATGAGCTATCGGAGTTAATGGAAGACAACGGTTGTACTTGAAACCAGTCAACAGGAGTACCACCTCAATATCATAGCGACATATTTGTCGTAGCCACTCTGCAAGGGTAGCAGTTGGCACAGGAACTTTGCTGGCTCTGAAGTTACCCCGCCAGAAACAAGGTACATATATTTATAAACCAGGTAATAATATTAACGAAGCCTTGATTTTGGTTAAGTCGTTCGCTGTTCTATTGTGAGTGGTCTGATTCGATAGCAGACGTCACAGACAAGGTTATCAGAAGTTGAAAAGGGGTCCTCCACGATCAGGCATATCGTCTCTTGAGCCATAAGTGTATTAGAAGTGGCCGTTGTTCGATCTACCCAAAGTAGCATATGATTGTTATTCTGTGCACAAGTCCTTCCAACATTTCATATTTACGGAAGATGATTTGTGAGTGTTTCAATTGGTTGTATTTCGCTTATACTCAAGTACGACATTTGAAGTACATAACCATCCCTCTTAACGATTGTAGTAGGACGCGCGAGAGTGCAATTTACCGAAAGTTCTGTACGCTCTCGAAGTCGGATATATGGTAGCAGCGTAAACGTTGCTTGGCCTATAGTTCAGCTTTCATCAGGCGCATTAAGAATCAGGGCCATTGCGTCAACGAAGCAGAGCATCGCCATGCTTGAATGCATACCAAATTGATACACATGAATCAAAATCTGATACGAGCCCTTGCAAAATGATTTGACGCATATACTGAGTTTTAGTGTGTATACTATGTCATGTCCTAGGCCCCTGTATTCGACCCTAAAACAAAGTGCAACGAGCGCATGACAGGTATTCAAAGACACTTTTAACCACGCAGCTGGTTGTGGTGGTAGATCACAGCCTGGACATACTAGCTGTAGACAATCTGTACGCAATGCAACCTGTCGATACGTGAGGTGTCCATTCTTGATCTGTCTCGCTCGTTTGACGCAGCAGCGTCGAATGTGCCATGAATGCGTAGTAGGTAAAAAATATGGAGGATATATATAGACCGCGCTAGGGCCACGTTGAGTAAATGTATGGATTGAAAAAGCTCGAGCTTGAGAATCGATTGTCAATATCGGCAAAGTTGCAGTTGTCAAAATTATTAGGATTGGCAGAAAAAAATCCTGATCTGCTATATACACACAGCGGTAGTGCGTCCTCGACAGTAACAACAAATTAACGATGGGCTCCCGGAACTCTGAAATTCAGCAGCAACGGCTATAGTCTAAATAGCCATGATCAGGTCATGCGATTGGCATGGTAGAAAATCAACCGGTCGTTGGATATAAGTCGAGGCGCATGGATCGTAGCGTTCATAGACAGAGTATCCATAAACCTCATGCTCGGGAGTATGAAATTAGTGCTGCGCGCATCGGATCGAGAGAAGAGAATTGCCCATTTCTTCGAAGAAACTCGGAGGATATCTGGCAAGCCATACATACAGCTCCACGTGAGAAAACTGAACATAATGTGCACACATGGCAGCAGGAGTAAGGCTTTGTTCTTTCTAATTTCTCGACGACCACTAACAAGTCAAATTGACATGACATCCCCAGTGCATCTGAGCGTACGAGATTTAATTTGGAGCTATCAACGGGTGGCCAGGCCATCAGTCACTCTGTGAGTATTGACACCTTATAAACAATAACATACATGCTAGATAGTGATGGCATGGTTTAACCCTCACAACACAGCAAACTGTTACATAGGCGGGACTCCATTAAAATTACTTTGGTACACAGGGCACTGCTAATGCGACACACCTACGATAAAAAAATAAGCTACTAGGCATTGCCATATTAAACGCAGACATGGTTCAGTTCATATTATTTTAGCGTGGTTAAGAACTCGACTACATTTGTCCCGCATATTTTGTTGAAATGCTGGCCGACCTGCCGAACATACACGCAGCGCAGCAGTCTAATATATCGCCAACTAGTACAACCAGTCATTAATACAACTGTCACTCTCCTTTGGCTCTTTGGAGTTCAGTGTCATCCATGTTAAATGAGTTTGCAGCCGGGAGAAAAATAGCTGTCGCAGAGAGAGCAGGCAGATGATTCTATGATTTGAGGAGTCTTTCACGTCTGGCACCAACAAGAAAGAACTGTCCTTTAGATTCTCCGCAATTACAGTGATGCATCTTTTTCGGTCACTTCAATAATCTTTTGAAAGGGAATGAAGAATAAACATGTCTGAGTAATGTGAATTCGCGTTTATAAATATATCATTCCATGCATACGTGTTATCTAAATAAACATGATATAATTTATATAAATATATATATAGATATACATACATACATATATATATATATGAATATAAGGACATTATATATATATACATATACCCATATACCCACACCCACATATATATATATATATATACTCGAACACTCACAGACACAGACATATATAATAAATATAGTTATATCTACATATACATACATATATATATATATAGATACATGTCAATATATTCCACGATAGACACATGTCAACATAATAAAAAAGATTCGGGGTCAAGAAAATGGAAATTGTAATCATGAATATGGAGTATGTGATTCCAATGCAAGCTCCGACATCTCCCCGAGCACGTATGCACAAACTAAATCAGATCCTGCTTATAACCACTGCATGCAATCTAAGCGATCAGCCTACACACCAGTCGTCAACAACATAACCATACACAATCAAGCACACACATGCCACGTGCGAGCCATAACGGAAGCTCAGCACAAGCAGGTGTATCCTTGCTTGTTCGCGTATGCATGCAGCTAACAACGAGTACAAGCGATACGACTCAGAGCGGCAAGTGAAGTAGGAATGATAATTTGTGCAGCATACCACAGCGAATGTACCGAGCTTCAACCGGGACCCATACCAGCCATTCAAACCTTTTACAGTTCTCATCATCCCCCGAATCTTGGAGAGCAAAAACAATCAAAACTAGTACAGCCAGTATAACCCTGGGACAGCCAACAAAAAATACACAAAATTAAAGGTAATATAATATACTACAACAGATGACAAGTGAAGCTGCGTTAACGTATATGCTCTAGTTAACAAAAATCCATTCGTATTCTTGTATATCACAAGCGAGTAAGGTGCTTATATATTTTTATTGCAAACTTGATTCACAAAACAAATACAATACAAATCTTTGACACTTATCATAACGCATACCAGTAACTTCAAGATATCAAACCGGCGGTATATTATTGTGAAGAATCGAGCATTCTACACCGACACAATTAACAACAATAACAATAATTTAACAGATGTGATTTTAGATCACTCGAGCGAAGTCGCTCGTTTGGATATTTACAAACATATAGATACAGCTAGACACAAAATTGACATTTAATCTACAACATGTTCTATAAGAAACTTGTTTGCAATACAAACCTCCAAACGCAGACGGATGCCAGTGCCAACCCGTTGTCCATCTTAACTCGATGATCATGAAGTGGCTTTATCGCGGGAATATAACTTCCACAGTCAGAAGAAATAATATTGACCCAATCATGTGAAGTATTGTGTCGCTCTCAATAGCTGGAATCATTCGTAGTCAATCCATGATGTTGACTCAATTGTGGTGTATGTATAGCACTAGACCTTCAAAAGGAGTGTAAACCCCTATGAACATCGTAATCTTTGCTAGAGAGCTTTCTACTGTTCGCGAGTGGGCCCAAGCGCTTCACCTTCTTTTCCATTTCACAATGAGAAGTTTTACATCGTAAACGGATCATGCTTGCCGTCATACTCCTCTATATATAGTGCTCGATCAAATCGTTGCCGTAGATACCCAAAATTCAATTGCAGAACTTCCTCATAAAACAGCGACGTCCGATGTCTACAATAGTGTCCACAAATATAGGACTCCGACACGCATAAGGCACGCTGTGACAGGCTAACATCTTTGGTTTCGTGATATGAAGCTATTTTTAAGACGTAGTTCTACGTACGTATGCATCTTTAGTAGTGATAATTATCACGGCCTCTGGATTAGTATAGCCTTGTTCAATTTAGAATTTAGACGAAGGCTAAATGGGATTAGGTCTTGTGCAGAAATCACACGGGGGGAAATCAAAAATCTAACTTAGACAATCATTTTTGTATTTATTTACCTATCGTGTGAACTGGGAAAGTGTGGAGTCTGTGGAGTGTTTTCAGGTCACTCCTCTTGCTGACGGTGTGGAGTTTGAAATCCAAAATCGGGTATTTATTCGAAATAAATAAATATCAATTTGTATATATAGTCGGGGAAAAACCCTGCATTTTTTATAGGTTTAGAAAAATGATGACTAATAGTCACATACATGCGCGCGGCAGCCGCTGATAATATTTTGCTCCATTGATGTTGGTATCACTTTATTGTCCCAAAATGCTCCACAGTCCACAGTTTCACACTCCACCACCTGAAGTCTGCTGAAGACTGAAGTCCTGAAATCCTAAAATGAAAAGTATTTTCGGCCAAAATACATTGTACAATAAACAATTAGGAAGGGATAGAAAATACAAATTGGCTTGAATTTGATTGAAAATCATGACGCGCCTTTTTCAAGATTTCTGCTCGTATTGTGGGACATACGACAATCTTGCTACCGATATATTTATGAATATTTACTATTCCGCATAGATATGCCCTATTCCGAATGCACATATACTGGATTAACCGTGTATATGCAAGTAAATCGTCGGATGGTACCTACAAGTGCAAACTAGGTCCCTCTTGTGTATAATTATGTGCTGATTAAGCTGCCACAGTGTGTATCGGTGTGCCTGGTTGCGCTATTACAAGGACACCACCCCAATCCAGTGTTTGATACTTATTACTGAGCTCTCTGTACTATTGTTTTAAAGGAACATTCATACCTTTACATCAATCGAAAAACACATGCACAAAAATATATTTATATATATATATATTATCCGACTACAACCATCATCGATATGAGCACAAGCACGAGCTCGCTTGCAGAGTATGGGGGAGTGGTGGACATGGAGATACATACGGATTCACAATCGCCCTCGAAAGCACACCACACGGAGAATATATATAGTGTGTCAGATGTAGGAACTCACTACTCTCACAGTAGTGCACACCGAACACTACACGGGAATAACAACACACCCATACATACAGACACATATAACGCTATGGGTGGTGGTATACGTACGCAACAAGCACAAGCACAGCATGGAACACAACCTAGTGATGTATTCAGATTTGGTGCTCAACCAAATGCACCACCGGTGTTTGTTTTCGGACAGAACATCTCTACGTCTGTGAAACCTAGTCAAGCTGCGACGAATACGAATTTGACTGCAAAACCGGTTTATAGTCCGGGTGCAGCATTTGGGTCCGATCGCACGAACACAATACCGCCAACAGATAGAGGGTCACATTCAGGCGTCAATATGAGTGCGAAGATTAACATCAAACCTGTGTTGAAGAGCCATGTAAACACACACACACCACAGAACACAACAAACGTACGGGTGGGCGATGAAACAACGCCTATCAATAATGCGAACACAACTAGTAATGGAGTTGGTGGGAGCGTTTCTGAGGGGTTCGGGTTATTCGGTCCGGCGGCTACCACACCAGCGAGGAGCCACAATAGTAGCGGGACTCGCGAGAGAGTACGACCAGTCAGTGCTAAAAAGCCCACACACCAACCCAAGTACATCATCATAGACAGTGATAGTGATGCAGGGGTAGGTGGACAGGGAAGTAGTGTGAACACTGGGCCGAATGCTGAATATGCTTGCAGAGACACGAGTGCACCATCACACACAAGTGGAATGAACAGTAGATATGGAAAGCCACGCGTAAGTGGAGAGGGTGTGAGGAAATCGAATGTAAATGCGAATGCGAATGCGAATGCGAATGCGAATGCGAATGCGAATGCGAATGCGAGTGCGAATGCGAATGTGGATACACGCGCATCGGGACTAAGCAGTCCTCCAGAATTGTGTGTTAGGACTCAGGCACTGGGTAATGTGTATGTGTCCGGTAGTAAAAGTCAGAAAAATCGGGACAAAGCGGTACCGAAGGCCGCTGTCACGGAGTATATCAATCTGATAAGTAGCGAGGAAGAGGAGCTGGGTAATGCAACGTTTGCGCAGAATAAACAAACACCGCCAAAGGGACCACATACGTTACACACACCTGCACGGCCGCAGGCAAAGCCTTCACCACGCACACAAGTGCACCTGCACGCACGTGCGCAGAATATGCATCAGCAGGCACAAGAATTACAGGCATCGGAACGACAGGAAAAGCTCATGAGAGAGAAACAGCGTGAGCGGCAACAACAACAACAACAACAACAACAACAGCAAACACAACAAACACAACAACAAAAGCAAGCTCAGCAACGTACCACCACCTTACACGGACCTTCATATGCACACATACCCGCCCCTGCAAGCGCCTCAAGGAACGAACCAAGATCACCCGAGCACACAGACGCTGAGGTGCCTGTGCCTGTGCTAACACCGCAGACGGAGAGTATACGGAGTGCTCTGTACTCGTCATCCAAGAAACCTCGGCGAAGTACGAGCGATACATCGGAAGACGCGGGTATGAAGCACGCGCAAAGCGGGACGAATAACGGGACGCACATGGAGCTGAGCCAGGACGGTGATGTATCGACTGTGACGGATATGGATGAGCATGTGGTTGCTACTGAGGCACAGGAGGGTGCGAGGCAGAGTTCGGGGAGTGCCAATCCCCAGATGCACGTGCACAGATCTAGGCGTAGGCCAGGGCATAGGGGTGTACCAAGCACTAGGAAAGCACAAACACACCCCAGTCAGCCAACTCAGTCACCCAACCAGCAGCCACACGGGCATACAGAACACACACGTGTACACAACGCACATAGACACGTGGAGAGCGGGCAAACAGGGCGCAATCAAACACAGAAACATACTACTGCCCCTACACCGTCTGCGGCTGGTACATCCCGCACAACGTCAAAGTCACCTACAGATGGGCCGCGTGATAGGAAATCATCGCAACCTTTGGTGGAGGGCGAAGCTCTCGCGTTCAACTTCGCAACGCTGTTTCAGGGTGCGCCGGTAAAGTTCGGTGCTAGTTCGCCAATGAAGTTCGGTGCTAGTTCGCCAATGAAGATCGGTGCTAGTTCGCCAATGAAGTTCGGTACTACTGCGGCATCCCCCGCCGCGTATGCAGAGCCGAATGCCACAGATACTCCACGGTTTGACGCTACGAAGGAACAGAATGCTGGTAATGGTCAAGCAGGTGTTGGCAAGGATGCGTCTGAAGCTGGGAAAAGTAGTAGTAGCTTTGGTGTAGTGAATGCAGGCTTGCCTTCCGGGGTGTTTCGATTTGGTGCTAGCGAGCCATCCCCTGGCGCGTTCAGCGGCGCAAATACACAAACACGTGGAGTCAGTGAACACCTACCAAGCAAGAAAGGCGCACCCGTGCAGGGAAGCACTGATGTGCCACAGTCGCCTAGTGCACACACGCGGGGCGTTGGTACGGGCCCATTCGGAAACAGTTCTGAATCACAGGACAAGAACGTTCGGGCAGGGCAAAGAACGCCCCTCGGTGGCGGTGTGAATAGTGGTGCCTCCACACCACACACTGCTACACCCGCATCGTTTGGGGTGGAGGGTGCGTTTGAACGGACTGAGACTGGGACAGCCTTGAGTGGCGAGGAGTATAGCGCACATGAGGAGGCACGTACAGCCATGCCTGCACACGCACCGGCACAGGCACAACAAAGTATGCAGGGAGAAACTAGCCGATTTGGCAGAGATGATTTTGTTCTGAACGGTGAAACGCAGGCGCATGCTGAGCCACACACACGTACAAGCACGGATACACATATGGATAGCGCAGACACACACATGTACAGTACACAAGCACACACGCAGCCTACGCTGCCGACAGTGCCGGCAGAGGGAAGTTCGGTACCTGATAGAGATAGCGCGGCTAACGTGATGGATGTACACTGCACATCGAATACGAACACGTCGTGTCTGGATGGCCTCGAGAAGTTGAGTGTAGCCGACAGCTCTGTGAGCGGGGCTGAGGAATCGACGATGGGTATGGAGGATGATATCTCATCGAGGCATATGCAGAGTGCGCTGGATTTACAGGACAAGGAGGGTAACACCGCCGAGAGTGGCAGCACGTCACAAAGTGGACTATTATTAAGTAGTGTGCACGGACAGCAAGAGCCAGCTCATACACACGGACTAGCACAGCCAGACAACGCAAGTGCGTCCAGTCTGAGTGTCTTCAGCCACGGCTATGGAGCCTCTCCACGCAATCGCACACACACACACACCCACATGCGCAAGCACAAGCACGTCCGCCACCAGTACTGGCGCATGCTTCAGAAGCGAGACGACACGATGGAGAAGTGTCCGTATGTGACGGAGAAGCGGGCTTTGGGACGCACCCAGTTCATGGCTCAGGACTACCAAGGTGCGATTGTGGCGTATTCGGAAGCCATTGAGCACATTGAAATGGAGGATCCATCCGTGGCTGCCGATACTGACGAGCTGAGCGTTTTTGTATGTGCATTAGTTGGCCTTCTGTTGTTTATTCATTAGCATATAAGTATATACTCTATTACGGATATAATTGTTGACGGGTTATATACATATCAGTCTGCTTGGGTATGTAAGCAATTGAGCACGTAGACACTGAGGAAACATCGTTGGCTGCTGATGAACTGAGCTGCCGATGTTTCCTGTTGGCTGTATATCAGCATACATGCATATATTCTTTCGCGGATGCATATATTCATATCTGCCTGTGTGAGTATATCAAGCTGTGTGTACACTTCCCTTCTGTCTGGCAACGTTGTCTTATTGTAGATATGATCGTTTTATGTATTTTTCTTCATTGTTGACGTATTATACATGTAATTCTGTACGTATTTTTGATTTCGTACTGGTTCAGTGTGATGCAATTGGACTAAGATGCAACATGGTGCGAGAAATTATATATATATATATATATATGTATATATATACAT